TAGTAATTTCCGACTACCATTTCTGTAAGTTAAGTATTTATTATTAATTATTATGTTTCAGTTTTTATATAATAGGGTTTATGTTTTTTTTTTTTTTTGCTTTTTATAATTTCCTTAAAAGTTTTACATTTTTGCTAAAAATTCACTCAATCTTTTTCTTCAATCATCATTATCATCAAGAATGAAGGTGCATTTGATTTGGATTATAAGGAATCTTATCGTATTTGCAAAGTTACGGATTCATTGAGCCCTCTTAAGATATTTCGGCATTCTTTTGATATATCAGGTTCCTGTGCGATAGAAAAAGACAATTTTTCACTGTTATTGTGTTCGACTATAAATGATCGGCTGGATTAATCATTTGGTACAAAATGATACATTTTAAAAGAGACAAACTTTTTTGAATTTGTTATCTCAAGTTCATCTTTCCATGATTTTAAATGGTTATATGTATGCAACAACAAATGTTGCGAGTTTGCTCGAAGAATCTTAAAAAGATATTTCAATGTAATGGAACACCTTCCTTTTTGCGTTATAATTGTACCTTTTACTAAGAAGTGGTCAGCAAGACAACCCCTTGTTTTACAAGTGCTGACTGAATATCTAAAACTAGGAATGACTCGTGCAGATCAGATACAAATATTGCAATCTTTTTATGGTAAAAAAACTAGATTAACAATCGGTATTAATCTGTTTGTGCATAGTAATGAAAATGGCATCCGTTCAAAATAATGCAAAACATTATGGAACTGTGTGTACTGAATAAATATGTAAGATTTTTTTAAAAAGTTTTTTTTTTCACGGGTATTAATTTTAACCGTTTTTTGTCACTCATCCTTTTGCTTATCTAGGTGCTACTCAGACCAGTATTCACAATACCTCAAAAGTAACCATAAATATATCAATGGTTTTCAAAGGATTTTTAGGGGGTGGGGTTAAGGTTGGATGGTTGTCGATGGTTTTAAGTGAGAATCAACAAGAAATGGATTTGGAAATGTCATGAAAGAAAAATACTTTTTTATTCAATGAAAAAATATTACATAGTTATTTACATATCATGTATCTCCCTCATTAATCATGTTAATCACTTTTCGATGCAATGCATATACAATAATTGATTAAGCAGGTTTATTTTTAATACAAGATCTTAGTTATGATTAGATCTTGTTCTTTAAAATTGCAGATATGGAGAACCGTCAAACTGGGAAAAATCAATTATCTGACGAAGATTTGAAGAAACTTTATTGGATGGTATTTCAAAAACTCATAGGAATTTCCCGAGATGCTTTACAAATATACTTTGACGGTAAATTCCCCAAAGAAGACCTAGAAAATGTACTCAAGACTAATGAGAACGACATGAAGAATGGTCGTTACAAATTAGGGAAAAATGAGATATCGATTCTATTTCCTGGTATGTCCTTATTGTTCAGTGTGTATGTCGAGATCTAGAGGTTATATCACTAATTTATTTCAAGTATTTTTAATTTTGTCTTTATAAATACTTCCAAATGCACATTTTTCCATGTTGTTCAGTTTGCCATTAAATTTTGTTTTTTACTAAACACTGAAAACGACAATAAAACTATGAAAGCGGTGGTGGTTACCCACTTTAAAGCTAAAGTATTTTCTAAAGATATCGTTCATTTATTTTTTAGGATATCTTTCATTTATTTTTATACAATTGTGATGGCGTAAAGTATATTTTCTGTAAAAACACTTTCCATTCAAGATGACGGAAGTTGTCCATTATCTTCAACATTTGACATAACGATATTGTACAAACTCCTAAGAAATTATGGTGAGGATATGCCGAAACCAAGCCAGGGATGGGGAAAGAAACCACACATTGGAGACAAAAAAGAGACCGATGATTTAGAAAGAGTCCGATATTACAGAAACATGTTTTGTCATGCAACACCCGAAACAAGTATTATGGAGAAAGATGACTTTGAACTGAGCTGGATGGACTTATCCAAGGTAAGAAATATACCAAATTTATATTAAAGCAGTAACTTCTGGTGATATGACATTTCACGTGATAAAACGCCGTTCACTTGATTGAAGGTCCTCTGAACGTGAATAAATGAGTTCTGCCATTCAGTGACCTTTTCAGACCTTTCAGTCACCATTCACTTCACTGAATGATGTAAATTCCTCCTGTGTTTTTTAAAAAGAATACTATACGTTATTATATTTTTGTCTGTGAAATAATGTAATTTATCCATTGACTAACTGTTTTCAAAGATGTAATTTTTCCACTTTGATAGATTGTTTGTTTGTTTGTTTGTTTATCGTCCCTTTTCGAGAATTTATCTCTCATATTGAAAAGCCATCATGGAGTTTTAGGTGGATGGCTGCAAATTTAAACCTATAATCGGCATTAAGGGACTTGAGGAGTGAGGGATCTTTTTCGTGCCAACACTTACTGCGACACGTGACCTTTGTTTATATTCTTTTTTCCGAACGACCAGTTGATGTCCCGCTTAGGGATTCAAACCTATGTCTTAAGGATCAACTCTTTATTCTGCTACTCTAGAGCAAATGCTTTTACAAATGCGCCAAGCAGGCGGCCACTTTCATAAAAGCAAACAATCAGTTTTAAAATCTTTTAATATCCACCAAAGCAAAAATTTGCTTGATAAATTCTAAATTTTTCTTATCTATTTGAATTTTGAAAAAGAATACCTCTCATTGACAGCTATAATGTAAAACAATATGACACCGGGGAAAAAATAACGAGTTCTCCCCAAAATGCGGTTAAGATAAAATCTAAATTCAGAAATAAAAGCAAGGGTAACTTTTGATGTAGTTTAGTGAATATTTATGGAATAAACAATATTAAAATACGACATTTCAATATATCTTTAGGACAAATTCACTTTCGCACTATTCAACGATTCCAACAAAGTAGTCTTTGCGTGATCTAGAGTAATAAGGATTTTTATTAGGCCCTACCCTACTGTCCAGTTAGTCCAACAAATGTTGGAGTTGAGACAAAAGTGGACTGTATAGAAAATGGTCGAGTGGGTGAATTTGATAGCTTGCAAGGAAGTCTTCACATACTGTGGCTAGGGTATGTGGCCTGCTGCTGTTTAGGCAACACATGCCTAAGTAAGAGAAACACAAACTTAAAGTCAAGAAAATTCGCAAACCAAACTCCTTCAATCGTTTTAGCTCACTTGAGCCGAAGGCTCAAGTGAGCTTTTCTGATCACATTTTGTCCGGCGTCCGTCTGTCTGTCCGTAAACTTTTCACATTTTTGACTTCATCTCAAGAACCGCTGGGCCAATTTTAACCAAACTTGCCACAAAGCATCCTTGGGTGAAGGGAATTCAAATTTGTTCAAATGAAGGGCCACGCCCTTTTCCAAGAGGAGATAATTATGAATTAGTGAAAAATTATTGGCACTTTTAAAAAATCTTCTCCTCAAGAACTACTGGGCCAGGAAATATGAAACTCATGTGGAATCATCCTCAGGTATTGTAGATTCAAATTTGTTCAAATCATGACCCCTGGGGGTTGGGCGGGGCCACAACGACCGACCGAAGTTTTACATAGAAATATATAGGAAAAATCTTTAAAAATCTTCTTCTCAAGAATAGCAAAGCCATAATTCATCATATTTACATGGAAGCATCCCCAGGTAGTGTAGATTCAAGTTTGTTCAAATCATGACCCCCGAGGGAAGGGCGGGGCCACAATGGCCGACCAAAGTTTTACATAGAAATATATAGGAAAATTCTTTAAAAACCTTCTTCTCAAGAATAGCAAGCCATGATTGGTCATATTTATATGGAAGCATTATCAGGTAGTGTGGATTCAAGTTTGTTCAAATCATGGCCCCGGGGGTAGGGCGGGGCCACAATGGTCGACTAAAGGTTGACATAGAAATATATAGAAAAATTCTTTAAAAATCATCTTCTCAAGAATAGTAAAGCCATGATTGGTCATGGGACTTCTTTTGGATTAAAACTTTTCAATAATAAACCAATTTTCTATAGCTACTTTTTCCTAGCCACAGTGCTCAGGTGAGCGATGTGGCCCATGGTCCTCTTCTTTTTTTCTCTTTTGTTCAAGGGGAGATCAGACAATTATAATTCCTGTTTATAGAAATAAATGTTTCAATGGTATTTACGGAGCAATTACGCAGAAAGGATTAATACGGTGTATTGAAGTGGCGCCGTCACTCGACGTCATGGTTGGTCGGAAACCCTTCGATTTCCTCTTTGACAATGTAATGGCTAAAACGTTCTTGGTATAAAAAAAAAATACAATTGAACATCAGCCTGCTTATACATTTCTTTATATTCTTGCATTGCAATCTCCAGAGCAGTTGAATTTTTGCAAGCCGAATTATAACTGCAAGAAATTTACATTGACTGTAAAAAGCTAAATACATTGTGTAAATCTCCAGAGTATCAAGTTGCATTACAAGATATGTTTACAAATCTGACATCGTCAGCATATACATATTTGTGGTTTTCTATAACTTTTCCTATTTGACGACATACCTTTTGTTATTATTTAATTTTGAACTCAGCTTTCAACATTCAGTAAAGAATACTCTCCTCTGAAAATTAAAGGAATTAAATTTCCGGTCATGTTTATCAATAAACATTGGAAACGTGTGAATAGATAAAACATTATTCAAGACACTCTTCATTGTGATTTAAAAACATTGTAATTATATTCATTTCAAAGACATTAGTATCATTAAAATGGAAAATAATCATTATTCAATGTACCGGTAAGTAATGGATAAGGTGAAAAAAAAAACGGTCGGTTATCACTCTCAGAAAAAAACCTACAAACAATACAAATCAGTGAACGGTCCATAAACGGGAACTCTGTTAATTACATAGGATAAGAAGTCTATATCAGAGATGTACGTTACCCTGTTAAGAAAACCTAACAATTTGTATAAAATATGTTACTCAAAATGCGACCCAGTGATAAGTTTAGGATAAGGAACATTTGTTTACTTATTAAGTTTCTTGGGTTTTTTTTTCTTTTTTAGGCAATAATGAGATTAAGCAACGGGACATTAACGGCAAAAATAAATGAATTGGAAAAAGAAATTCCAACTTAATTTGAGACAATCCTGTGGTGATAAAATGTAAATAATGGAGAGTGGAGGTGAAGATCAATTCCATTAATTGGCACAGGAAATAGATCTTTAATAAAATTCATTATAAAGAAAAACATGTATAAATCATGTGATGAATCTAGAAGGTGAGTTGGCACTTTGTTGTTACAACTGTATAAACATGTTTTGTTATAAGGAAGCATAGTTTGAATAACCTTTATCTTCCTTTCTACTGACTTTTACGATACTATTCACAAAGAATCAGCCGATTCCGTATTAACAAAGTTATTCCGCCAATACATACATAATTGCGTGAAAATATCAATGTATTATAGCATTTAAAAGAAAAGAATTTTTAAAATTGAAAAAAAAAATTTTTCTGTCAGTGATGTTCTATAAATTTTATGTGGTGTGTTGGTGTAAAGGTTTGTATATGTATATTTTTAGAATGCTGCAGTTCATATACTTTACGTGTACATAAATTTGCGTATTAAAAATTTGGAACAATCACTGGGTACTGAGTTGTTTGGGATTCATGAGTTATCGCTACACACTTCTACACTGTATATTGTATTTACATTGAATTGTTAGCAGCATTCATGTTTAGCGGCTTTAAAGCATCTTTGACTGCTCCAAAGCCACTAAAATATAAAGACCATTTTTATGTACAGGCACAGCATATAAATGCTTTATTTCGGAGCTTTTTTTTGTTTTCACATTGGATCATATTTTGAAATTCATAATTATGCACTGCTTGTATTGTCAAAAGCAATACTTTTTTTGGCTTTAAAAAGCAAAAATATGTATATATTGTTGTCTTTTTCTCATTATGCTGAATCGATTGTCAATGTTCATTTTAATCATTTGCTAATTAGACCTGAGACTCTAGTACAATTTCTGGATCAAAACTTCTCCATTGTCGGTTCCTAGGGTTGTTGTTGTTTAATTTTTTACACATCCTTGTTCTCTATCAATCTTTTTGTCTCTGGTGTAACATAGGGCTTCAGCAATAGTTCCAATGTTTGCAGCAGCCTTTTTCCGTTGTACCCAGCTATTAAAGAAAATTCATTCTTTTCATTGAGCTAGCAATTAGCCTCAGAGAGTGCAGATTCATTTTTTTAAAACTAATATTGATATCATCCGAGTTAAGAATTGGGCAACAAAACTGGATCAGGTTAAACAAGGATATTTGTTGTGAAAAAAGCTTTTAAACCCCTTGAGTTAAACTTTATATAAATTAGAATATAATCTAACATAGGAAGTCTTCTACAAAAGTGCAAGTTCATATTAGTAATGTTTATATGCAATGTAGAACAAAACTTTAAAAGTTTTCATCTCCATGCAAAGATTAATTATTCTATATACTCATAGGAAGCATCTGTATGCAATACATATCTAATATGTTTTTACCCTGATGAATAGGATTGGGCTACCAAAGGGATTCTGGAAAACTGTGCGTTAAAAAACTCTGAGACTATACGAAGTCAATCAAAAACAAATAAACACGTTTGAAATATCACAAATTCCAAATCGCTCAAATCATGGCCTCATAGGATAAAGTTGGGCAAAACAAACAGATTTACACTCGGTCCTTTTTATGAATTTAAATTTTCTTCTCAAACCCTTACTTATAAGTGAACTTAGGTAGTGATCTTTTAGTTTGTTCAAGCGATAGCCCATGTTAGGAGGTTAGAGACACAATAAGAAATGAAACTTTAACATGGGAATGAGAAAAAAATGTTTAAATTCTTTAAAAGCCTACTCAGATAAGAAAGGTCATATATATCATATACAAAGGTCATATATAAAGGTTATATATTTGATATACGTAATATATTGGAATCTTCTTTGTAAAAACAATGAGCATTTAATATGTATTAATTTATGTAGATAGGTCATAATAAGCCATTTACATGGCTAAACTTCCTCTGATGGAAGAGATTAAGGTTTGCACAATTTAATGTCTTAGAAGTGGGGTTTAAGATTTCACTACAAATTGCCAACCCTAGCGCAAGCTAGGGTTTTGTGAAACTGGGGTGAAAATTAACACCATCCATGTCTATAGAAAAATAGCGGATTTTAGTTCAGTTTATCCAAGACCCCTTGAAGGTAGGATGGATGCAGTTGTGTACATGTCTGGGTTTTTGTTGTTATTTTTTTTTTCTTTAGGAGAAGGGGGCGGGGATTTAGTATAAAGATTAAACACATCTCGTCAGGTGAGCAGAGTTTGTATGAGCGTCTCATTTTTGTTGTATATGTTTGATTAAGGATATTTTCCTGAACCATTTTGGAAAATGTTTATAAATTAGTGTAAAGTATAGAAGGTATTCATTTCTTTTTACCGATTCTAGAATTATGTCCAGTGTTCCATATAAACAACAAAATTGGTTTTGGGAAATACGTTTTGGATCGCCCGAAGAAAAGTTTTAAAGTTTCCTTATAGAATTTGTTGATCTTTAAAGATGTTTTTTCATGTATCTGTATATTTACTGCAATTTTACACCTATAAAGCCATTTTCAGCCATTATACTAAAGTGTATTCTTACCCCCAAAAATAAGTTCACT